CATTTGTGTTTCTTAAAATGAAAAAAAAAAAAAAAGACTATTGTCTGGTGTTTCAATTAAGCTGCTGGGAAATGCTAACACTGCCAACAAGTGATGCGGTTTTATTATCCAAACATATACCTGTGCTATTGCACTGCACAATTTTACACTGCAGTTCGTTACCGGATTGCCATGTCACATACTAACACTCCTAATTTGTATTATGAATATTCTTTCAATAGCTTGTCCCTAGAGATTCGCTCCTCAGTTTAAAACAAACTATTATGCAATTCTCAAAGAAAAGCCTGCAGATATTATAACAAATCAGCGAGGGGCCATTTGATATGCATTCAATGATGAATATAAGGCATTTTTTCCTCTAATTACAAGAGGAAAGAATTAGTAGTGCTAACAGAAGTAGCTTGTTTACTAAATAGCAGGTCTCAAAGCATCACTGATTCTTCACTTATATTGTTTTAAGTGCAATTAAGCTGCTATCATTTTCTACTATAACCAGAAATGCAAACAAGTCTAAAAATGCTGCTGCTGCCTTCGTCAGCTGTTCCCTTTTATTCAATGTATAATTTCATTCTAGACTACCATATCATTGGGATTTCCAACCGTCTTCATAAATTTTTTGTTTCTGTGTTCTCTCATTATTTATGCTATTACAAAAAAGGTCTCATTTGCTTGGAAAACAATTAATTACTAGGCAATATGTTACTCATACAAGCCAGCCTAAAATTTTTATCTTACCCAAACGTGAGAACACACGCATGGATGCAGAGCTAGCTGTACAGACATGCAGATGCACAGGAGCAAGCTCTGTAGTCTCCCGCTTACCAAATGTATGCAAATAATAGCTCTGATGAGTGAAGACTCTGAATACATTACGGCAAAATGATGGAGCACAGATCCTTTACTCCAGCATTGCTTTAGTCTAGTGGTCATTATAGATACCAGCAATATCAGCAACTGTGGAAGTTCTCAGTTTTAAAAAGCGACTTTTGCAAATGAAAGACACCAGCAAAATATTGTTCATAGCAGAAGAGGTACTTAGAAAATGAAAAAAGCCATTTCTCGAAATAGCCTCTGCAAGGAGTGCGTGGGCAGGGCAGGACGTCGCCCCGCGCCCGTGCTGCCCGTGATCGGCCCCCGGCTTTGCAGGCTGCAATGCGCAGGCTGAAACTCCGCGTCACCTGCTGAGGTCCTGCTGGCTACGGTTATTAGGGGTCTGCCACTAACGAGAGCGGCTTTCGCCTGATCTCAATGGGATGCACTCGGATGGGAAGGTAGCATCGTTTGACTGGGGAGCAGATACGAAATGGGAGCAACCCCAGCTTGTACCCCTGCGCGTGGGCTGCCCCATCACTGACCGTTGTATTACCCAGCAAAACTGTCTAGGAAAGAAGAACAGTAGTTGGCACGGTATTTTGATTCCTTGAGTGATTAATGTTTCAAAATTATCTGTTGATGTTTTGAAATTATCTGTGACTAGTATCTCTAGGATTGAATTACTTAAAATTGGGAATTTTCACAATGAACGTTTCTGAAAAATATTATGCAACTGGCATTATTTATATGTCTTGGAACAGGGACCAAATCTCCAGCTATTGCAAAGAGTAACAATCACGTTGACATCAATAGGTCATGGAGGTAGCTCAAGACAGTTGAATTAATCTAAAATTAGTTATAATTAATAATAACTAACACTAAACATATATAACATCATATATCTATAGAATCATCTGAGAAAACAAGAAAGGAATTCAGTTGAGTTTAATAGGAAGAGAACGGAGAAGCATTTTTCTGGGAAAAGCTTAAATAATTACATGTTATATTTGCTTTTTAATACCAACCTCCAACCGTTTGTTAAAGGAAATAGTCAGTGGGGCTGTAAAAAATGTTTCTAAAGACTTCCAGCCTTGTGTAGTTTCTTAGCATCCACGTTTGCAAGGGGCTGCCGCTGCAAGCCTCCACAGTGGGACCATGGGTGCCATCCTCTATCCTGCTTAGTGTCAGACACGACTGGGTGATTATATGAAGAAATGTATGGGTCTGCACGACAGAAAAATGGTGAAAGTAAACAAAACCAGCAAAGACAAAGACAAACAAAGGAAAAAGCAACAGACTGTTCAATTAGACATCTACAGCAGTGAACCAGATACAGCTAAGAGCACTCTTATGGGAATTACTAATGGGTAATTGTGCCTGTGAATACGCCGGTGTCAAATTGTAGGCAAATTGCGCTAGCTTACACACACGTAACACATACGTAAATAGGCATATCATGAACTAAGCTTTAGTTTCACAAAGAACGTTCTCACTGCTCTGCTTTGAGGGACCGGTCCGCTTGAGACCCATTCACTTTACATTCTGCAATTTAGACCTGAGTGTGCCTCTGAATCCTCCCCCCACGTACATGCTGCCTTGTTGCAATCATGATTTCCCATTGCACAGCAAGATTTGGGCAGAGATGATGTTTCTACTGCAGTAATATCCTGTACTAAACATCCTGAAGCCTACTCAAGCATTACTAAATTAAAAATATAATCAATTAAACATTTACATATAAGGAGATAAGAATTTTTTTGCCAACTGTAATTTCAGCTCTTCCTTTACCCTGCCGATACCAGGTAGACTGGGATGGAGGCGAGCTTTTATTCCCCTAAATTCTGCCCATGGCTGCGGCAGTCAGCAGTCGGTATCCGATCACCGCGGGTGCCCGGGGCCGGTGCCACCTGTGCAGCCTGGGGATGCTCCTCCCGCATCCCGGTCCCGGCTGCTGCCCCCTCTCCTGCTCTCTGTTTTTGGTTTCGTAAGAGAAAAAGTAATGTACATACAAAGAGGCCACTGAAAATATCAAGAACAAATGTCCTTATAATGTCACTTTGAGTAACCAGCGTGAACGTCAATGCTTGTTTTTGTTTCATTATGTATTATTGCTTCGTGTTCACTTCTGTCTACTATTCTTTTAAGGGAAAACAGAGGTACATAAATAACTTCAAAATGTAATGATCTCTCTATATTGCATGTTTATATTATATTAAATGCCTAAATGTAGTAGATTCTTCATATGGGTATGAGTAGTACTAAGCATTATTTTGGTAATCTGACGAGACTCTCTTCTCTGGTACATGAGACAGCAAGTTTAACTTATGTAAATCAGCAAGACTGCACTGACTTTAGAAAATCTATAGTAACGGAAGCAAGAGATCATTTCTCCCCTTCACTCATTTTATTAAACTTTACTTTCTAAGAAGGTAATAAAAAAACCTGCAATGTTTTCCCTACTCATTTTTGAAGAACTAAGTCCTTTCAAATACATAGTAATAAGACTGCAGTTTATAGAACAGTCAAATTATTGGCCATAATCTCTTACGGTAAAAGTTTAGTAAAGTCTTTGACACCATTTCCCACAGCATTCTGCTGGAGAAACTGGCTGCTCGTGGCTTGGATGGGTGTACTCTGCGCTGGGTCAAAAACTGGCTGGACGGCTGGGCCCAGAGAGTTGTGGTGAATGGAGTTACATCCAGTTGGCGGCCGGTCACGAGCGGTGTTCCCCAGGGCTCAGTTTTGGGGCCGGTCTTGTTCAATATCTTTATCAATGATCTGGATGAGGGGATCGAGTGCACCCTCAGTAAGTTTGCAGAGGACACCAAGTTGGGTGGGAGTGTTGATCT